GGGGGGGGGTGGCAACCAATTTGTCAATGGGGACCCAGTGCGCGCTTCCACCTTGTTGTTGTGGTTGTTGCTGTTGGTAAAACAACATGACAGGGCTCCTGTTTTTCGTCGCTACCTAGTGAATGTACAGACAAAAAGCAGATAAAAGAGTTGACGGGGCTACAGTTTTTGTTTGCACCTTGCTGCTGTTGCTGCTGCTGCTGCTGTTGTTGTTGTTGCTGTTCTTCTTCTGGATACCTCGAGAACTCTGAGACAGAATTGTGATCGTTTGGTCTGCATTCTTCTGTCCTCGCCTGCCAGCAGACTCTTGCACCGGCAGATGTGCAACAATGATTCGGCTGCAGCATGCAGCAGGTGCACAGTGGCAGCTGGCCATGTGCGTATTCGATGAGATGAACCGCAGTGCGGTAGAAGCAGCTTGATCAACATATGTCAACATGAGGTGGAGGGACTAATGCCGCCTACATCGTTGTACACAATAGCTGGTGATCGTCCGTGCGTAGCTATCGTAGGCAGTAGGCAAGATTTCTTCCAACAAACTTGGAGTGAAGACGTTGGGACGTTTATGCTGCATTTAGAACTTTGAGCCGTTACAATGTATGCCTGTGAGGCCAACACCATCACTTACAACTCCTGCCTGAGCCCCCGTGGCTGCAGTGGCTTCAGAAAGCCTTTCTTGTAGCACGGAAGTTGGATTCACAGAGTTTTTCTTAGTTGTTCTGGGCTTTGCTGCATCACGTTTGGCTTCCGTCACATCTCTCGGAAGGCGCTTGCGTCCGGGGTGAAGAGTGGCAGAAGGCTCTGCACATGTTTCGGATGCTGCGGAAGGAGCAGCTGGAAGCTGTCTTGCATACATTACTTGGCGGTTTGTTGTTGTTGATTTCGGTGGGTTCGCGTGACCTGGCTATGGGGGGGATTGGCGCCATGCACACCGTTCGAGCGCGTGAAGGCTTGTGCAAGCTTTGCACAAGCCTGTTGCTAAGGATGATAACCTATGAAGTTGAATAAGCCCGAACCCTGAGAAAGCCTCGCGTGCGCAAGCACACAAAAGAGTCACGCAATCACGAAAGCCAGAGTAGCTAGCTAGTCTTCCGTTTCTACTACGTTAATTGGTAGCAACCCTGCCAACACCGACCTTTTCCTGATATCTCAGGCACAACAGGGGCCGCCTCCCAAACCCAACCCAACGTGTAGAGTGTAGAGGAAATACCACAAGTACCGATGGTTTCGGTACTGCAAGCAAAGGAAATGCCGTAAATACCGAGGGTTCCGGCACTTGCAGAATTCGTGAATTTGGAGGGTCTGGACAACAACAAGGTACTCGCGTCGTGCACGCCTTGTGAATCCACCCTGACCCAGCTAGCTTTCGTTCCTCCGGCCCCGCCCCTCAAGTTGGCACACATGGAACCAGGATTAACAACCCTCACACGTCACGATCAGCGTGCAGGAGTCGGGGTTGCAGCCCAGCATCGTCTCCCTCACTGCTGCTGTCACGGCTTGTGCTGCAGGCAGGTTTGTGGGCCAATAGATTCACGAGCCTGACAGCATGTGCTTGCTTCGGTTTTCAGAAGGCCGAGACAAGCAAGTTGACATGGTTTCGAGCAGTCTCGACTGAGGTTTGCAGAACATCATTCATACATATGGAGGAGAAGACGCACTCTGCTGTTCGAGTCATCCCCACAAATTCCTCGCAGAATACACGTGCGCCGCTGGATCACATGTGCATGTCCAGAACTATTGCCAACATTCGTGTTTACCGAGGCGACAAGTGGCAAGCAGCGATCCTGCTTGCAGCTTCGCCGCTGATCAGCTGATTCAGCTTAATGTTTCATTTTTTCACGATGCTGCGTTGCCAACCTCGGCGGACCAGTGTGCCGCAGTGCACACCGGTACTAGATGCCACACAGAGCATGGCCGTTTGCTGTCAAGAGCTTCAAGCTGCATGTCCTGAGGCCAGCATCTCCGACGAACGCAAAGCCAGCCGCAGCTGCTTGCAATGCTGCGATTTCCGCTTGTGGCAGCTGCGCGAAGTGGCGGCACCAAGGCTAAAGCTTGAAGCGAACAGACATCATAGAGTCTTCTGAGTTAATGGGATCCTTACCCATGCCTGGAACGATGCCACTGGGCACTGGTCTTCATGTGGCTTTCGCAACTGAAGGTGGGTCTCGGTAGGCACCCATCGCAAGTTGCAGATATGAGCGGGCCTCTGACGGCTTGGCGTCCATGTACCTGATGGCAGCCTCAACTTCAGCACCCGTGTTGTGTTTACATAATATAGTAGACTAGTAGACTGCACGCTGACATCGTGTGAGCCTGATGCCGCCCCTGGAGACATGTATGGTCCATATGGTCAGGGTTCCAAGGATCTTGTAAACTTCGTGCGCCTTGTGGCTCAGCAGCGGGTTCTCTGTGTATGCGATTTTTCGAAGCCGGGCTCGGCCATGGAGGATTCCTTCCAGCGGCACCTCGAGGCACTAAATGCGGTATATGAGCAGGTGATCTTGGAAAATGCCCAACTCCGCAAGCAGCTGGGACAGGCACCCGAGTTCGGAGATCTCCGGCAGCTCACTCAAAGTGGCTCCATGCCTCCGTTGCCACCAATGGCGACCGTGTCCACTCTAAATCTCCAGGAGAGCACAGTGCAGCTTCCAGGGGCTTTGTGTGACAGTGAGAAGCTGAGCCCACAAATCTTGGAAGGCGATCCCATTGAACCTCCCGGTGATGGTGCTAAGGGGGACACGAACGAAGACTCTGCAAGCTGCAATGGCGATAACGCGCCGTCGCTGCCAGAAACGCCCCGACCGCCTGCTTCCAGCCCCCCGAAGATGACCGACCACATGAAGTCTTTGAAATCTAGGGCATCCCGGCGCAGCAGCTTCTTGCGAAACTCATTGAGGACTAACGACTCGGACGAGGAGACGGAGGATGATGTAGCCTGTTGCTTTTCGGGTAGGACACGGTCTATACCTGTAACAAGTGCTTTATACTTTATACTTCATGGTGTTTGTGTTGAAGATTGCTTTCGAATTTTCTGCAGCAGCGGTGACTCAAGCCGTGTTCACAGCATCTGCAGAGCTAGGCAACCTTCCTGCTGATGCTCGACGTCGTCCCGTCCATTGTCATATTGATAAGCGCGGTAGTCGCAGGGTTCAGCCAAGACATCTCGCCTGACCATGGAGTTTGGGTCGCCTTGGAGATGGCCTTCACCTTGTTCTTCGTAGGCGAGATCGTGGTGAAAATCCGGGTTTTCGGCTTGATAGAATATATATGGGGGGCAGACTGGTACTGGAGTTGGTTCGACGTCATCTGCGTCGTACTGGCAATCGTGGACCTGTCCTTGAACTTATCGGCGGCGGCTAAAGGCGAGGAGAATGACACTGGCGCTCTCAGTTCTCTGAAAATGCTGAAGCTGGCGCGTTTAGGGCGCATTGTGCGCTTGTTAAAGTTCAAGATCTTCCAGGAACTGAAGCTCATGATTCAAGGTGTCTTCACTGGACTGCGCGTGCTCTTCTGGGCGGTCGTGCTGCTCGTGGGATGTATGTACTTGCTCGGGGTGGTGACTAGGACCATATTCAGTGATTACGCCGAGTTTTCAACAGCCACCTGTCACGCAATGTCAGTTTTTCTGATCACCTTGCTGGGATGCCGAATCTGCCATTGATTGGTGAGATGTGTGCGTGGGCCCGGAGGGGAGCTTGGACACTTTCAGACTGTAGAAGTGACTTTTGGATCCTGCTGAGTGCCACAAGTATCCACAAGTCAGTTTCAAGCGAGCGCTTCTGAGGTTCCGATCGCCATGCTCACCAACTTCCGTTGTTTCACCGATGGATGTGTGGCGTTCGATGGCACTCCGCTACAGTGGAAGCTCGAACAGGAACGATAGTGACCAGTGCGAGTCTAATTCTGGAGTCTAAGACCTTCCTTCCGGCCATGTAATGAGCTAAGCAACCGTCCCGGCAGCCTGTTGGAGTTGCTTGCTTCAAGCAGGAGTTTGGTGGGCCCTTCATGATCGCGTACATTCTGCTGTTCCTTTTCGTCACCATTGGGATTTTCAATCTGATAATGGCTGCTTGCCTGAGCATCCGGATGAACGGTCAGTCCTTTGTCACGGTATCGAGATCGGGTCGAGCTCTCTATCCGCAAACTCTGGAAGTTAACCTAAGCAAATTTCTCGTCCATCCCCGCAGCATCTATTCCCTGTTGTCGCGGCTATCATTCCTCGTACCATCCGTAACAACAAATGTGCAACGGCGGATGATCAGTCTGCAATTCGGTGTGTAGTCTAGCACAAGCAAGATCCGTTGTTACTAGGCAGATCACAAACATGCCATCACAACAACAACTACGAGAAACAGCAGCACCCCCGTCACTTTGACAGCTGCTTCTGCTACTGCTGCTGGCGTGACTCTCTCGCATTTCTATGTACCCGAGCAGAACTTATGCATGGGTTGAGCCGGCTGCGTGTGTCTATGTCTGTGCAAGGCAGTGTTCATCGACAACGTTACCGATGGCAGTACCAAGCCCCTCGAATGGAACTCGTGAGGCAAGTTTCAAGTCCCGCAATCTGTAGCCGTAGCCTTGACAGAAGCATAGCAAGAGTCCTCGAGATTAAGCCCGGTTGGCTCTGTCTCGGTCTGGCCATGAGCAGTGTAGAAATACAGTGCGAGTCAGGAAGAGACAACGGGAGCTGGGACAGAATGCACCGAAGACGGCATTCATCATCTCCGATGCATTGAGTGACTTGTCCTGAACGGAGCTCTTGGCTTTGGCCTACTGCCAGGATTCGAGTTTCGTCAGAAGTCTTCTTCGGGCGGAGGTCTTAGACTGTGGTTTCGGTTGGAAGATGTTGTAAGCACGAAAAACCGTTCTACGTCAACAGTCCCGGCGATCGAACTGGCTTGAGTGTAGATCCGTCTGGTCCCGGTGTTGTACATGTGTCTGCATCTGCGCATGTTTATACGTTTCGCATGTATGAAATGCATGCATGTCTGATGATGTCTTTGTCTCAATCCGCAGTCTCTGTGAGTTTGTATCTGTTCATGTATGGATGTATCTCATTCTAAAGTGTTTGTTTTCATGCAGGTATGGGTGCTTGCATGTCTGCACATATAGCCTTGGAGGCCTTGAGCATGCGGGGAGGCACCCAGACATGCTTATGCCCACAGGCTCGCTCTAGATCCTGTTAAGCAGGAGTACATGATCATGCATAGATAGAGAGGTAAGCACCGATGCAAATAAACCTCTGTCTACATACACTCGCTGTATATTTGTATGTTTAGGGTTCAAGGCTTTTGATACCCATACACTTACGGCATTGTCAAAGGATGCGGAATGAGGGAGCAGTGTACAATGGTGGCATGAGGCAATGCAGAAGCCTTTGGGGATTCATGGCTATGTCTGTTCAGGGGTACTTCCGCCGAACATGTTTACACATCTACACCTAGAGTCTGTAGGTACGCGGTCATTAAATCGTGAAAGCGTCGCATTAAAAATTACATAACCTATCTGTCGATCTATTCGCCTTTCGATCCCCATCCAGAAGTCAATGGATGTTGCCATGATTCCCTGATGTACGTGTGTGCGTGTGTGCGCGGCCAGACTCCCAGGCACCAGCTGCACCATGTTGTTTGCAGCTACCCTTGACCTCTGAGTCCCGAGATGTCTGCAAGCCACGCCCTGTGCATAAGGACACCTGATATTGACGAGCATTTTGCGAAAAGAGGCTGAGAGCGAGGTCCGGCATCAAGAAGTTCGCTCCTGCATGTGTGATTACGTTTGGGGTCGGTGTACCTGCAAGACTCAAAGTTTTTGATCTTGTGAGCAGGCAGCTGAGATGGAGAGGAAAGGGCGCCCTCGGCGTGTGTCGAAGATTTTGAGGGAGAGCCGTGACCGCACGCGGCCCTCGCAGTGACTGAAGTTTCGATCCAAAAAGGATAGCTTTGCAGGACAGGCATCGGGTTGAATCCAAGGCTCCAAGGATTTCTTGCGGCAGCCTTGCACTTAGTGACTGGCTATGGTTGCAGCCCATTCTCTGTCGTTCGCTAAGGAAGATGCTGGGTCTGAAAGAGATGTGCCCTGACTGTCATTTCTGTTTTGTAGGAACGAGAGTGGAAGGCTCATTTGCGATGGTCGCGCAAAAGATTGCTTGTTCCGTTTGGCGGCAGAAAGTTGCAGGTATGGTTACAAGCCGCATAGCGCAAGCGAGTACGACGAGCTCACTTCCAAGATCCGGGCTGACATGATGGAGAGGAACATCGTTGTCACGAAGGACCTGGGGGCCACGCGGTGCTCTGTCATGAGGGCCACACAAAGCTCTGCGTCTTGAAGCTTACGCTTATGCATATGCATTACTTACGACAAGCCTACCCCTGTCGAACCGCAAGTTGAAGCACTTTCGGCCAAGACGGGTCTTAAACTGCGGGCCCAGGAGCCCAGAATCGTCGTTGGAGAGCCGGGGAAAGGGATTGAATTTCACGATGATGACGGCGTATCAGAGAACCCTTCATTCAACAGATATAGTTAGTACTGTGCAATGGCTCTGGCTGCAGGACGAGTTCAACCATTGGCTTCACACCGAAAAGGCCCTTTTGGAAACCCTTGACGACTGCGAGATCGACTTGTCTTGCATCTTGGGAGCATGGCAGTTACAAGCTGAGATTCTAAACGTGGGTTATGCGCAAGCAGTCAAAGGCTGCGTATGCTGGTTTAACATCTGCCACCTACAGACAAACCAGTACTCGAGAGCCCAAAACCCGGAGGAGCGTCCTCCGTCCAATTTCCGATACCCTCCAGAAGCGAAACTTCCCGAAATCAGAAGGGAGCCATCAAGAGCCAGACCGCAGCCATGAGGCAAGTTTGACTTGTTTGATGTCCTTGACGCAGATCTGTCGGGCGAGCTGGAGTTTGAAGAGATGATTGATGGCTTGCCACACGGCCTAGTAGGGCCTAGTCGAACATGCCTCCAGCACATAATTTCCGGTCCTTCCTGCACGTGATAACATGCAGTCGCGGCGAGATGCGGATAAGAGCGAGTCTTGTTGATTTCGTTGGCGGTTGCTACGCAGCTGTTGAATTGCAGGTTCGCAAATTCTATGCTCAGGGCTGTGACTGAGGCTGTCGTCGTCTATCTAATGTTTCGTGAGGGGAGATGTCGCTAACGGACTTGACTAATTCGGGGCCAGGGGGCAGAAGGTTCGTAGATCAGCGGAGCTTAGGTTGAAGTGTCGCGGCCCCGCATCCAAGACGGATATCATTGCAATCCGTCTCAAGACCAGACTGCTGGTGCGAATGATGAACCGCGTGTGCGAAAAGCTCGGCATTGAGGCCGAGGACTAGCCTGCATGGTAATTACGGTCTGAAGCCACATCCTCATGGCTGAATCTTGCGATAACAAATCTACCGAGTAGAATGGCAAAAGCGCTTCGACGAGTGTTGCTCCAGAAAGCGGCCTCGGGAATTGGCCGCCGCAGGGATGTTTGACTTCCAAGCTTCACTCTTTTCCGTCATCTCCACGGCTGTTGCTGCGAGTAGCTCAACAAATGAGAGAAATGCTATCGCTGCTATGGGCTATAGATGGCTATGGGCTGTGCCGCACTACAACAGCTGCTGCCGTGAGGTGTTGCTCTCGCCTGCGAAGCAGGTCCCTTTTCAGAGCCCTTCCTGCTAAGCAGGAGCCTGCATGCTGGATGCATCCGGTGAAAGTTTGTAGAGAGTCTCCAAAGGCTCATTCCGAACACGGAGGAGTTCAGGCAGAATCATCCCTCGAGCACTTTCCAATCACGCAGGTTTGTGGGGAAGGATGTACGACTGTATGAGGCTTCAACATCCAGAATTCCAACAGTCGCTGTGGCAATTGCCTCTTAATCTGGTGGTATGCCTGTCCCCTCTGCACACATATTCTGGCAGCAATACGCCAGCCAGCCCATCACGTGGTGCAGAAGCTTTCCGAGCCAAGGCTTCAATCAGGTTGCCCGCCGACACTCCCAAGGCACCTACAGTACTGGTTGAGACCCTAGCCGTTGCTGTGAACAGCTTCGAGACCTGATTCGACAGTCTGCTGGCGATGTGCGAAGATTGCGACACCGTCCAAAGTGCAAAAAATGCTTTCATGCCTCATTGTTGAGATTTGCAGCCCTATGATAGATTTTTCGCCGACTTGGTGGCCAATGGTACTGTGACGAGAGCTTCTCGGTTCAAGCGCTGTGCATGTGAAGTCTTTGCAGGGTATTTGGACACAGGGATGGTGCAAGAGCACCTTTGGGTGTCATAAGTTGTGCGCTTCCCGCATCGCTTCCCTACTGTCGTGCCCATGGCTACAATGAGCTTTCGAGACGGAGCCTTCCATGACCATCTGCGGGCTTTGACCGCAGAGTACGAGAGGCTGTTGCTCGAAAACAAGGCCCAAGTGCAGCGGGCGCCTGATGTGCTCGCAGCTGTGAAGCGCGGGAATTTCGTCAAACGTCGTGAGGAGCTGCGACAGGGCACACCCACGGTATCATCGAGCTCAATGTGGGCCATCCGCAATCAGGACTTCAACCGGGATGCTGCAGGGATCGTGTCCATGTTGCCCGAGCCGGTGCTTGGGAGGATTTTGGCCTTTCGCCTGCGCAGCCGATTGCTGCCTTCGCTGAGGAGATGGAACTGGAGTGACTAGATGGCACAATGATCATAGTGCGATTGGCGAAAGACTGCTACCCTGCTTTTTGCGAATCCTGTCCGAGGATCAAACGGTTTAAAAATGCAGGCCCTCGCCAAAACTGGAAGTGTGGGTGGGCAGATGCCTGGGTGAGCTCAACAGGGTTGGATGTCGAGTTCTAATCTTCGAGAGATGGAACTCCGTGATGAAATGCGGCCCTCGCCTTGTAGCCACCGAAGGCTTGAAGAGTTCTGAACTATGTTTTTCGAGTTTTGTTTCCCAGCAGCCTACCCGACGGCTAGGGCTAGGGACACAGTTACATTGACATGCCTGCTTCACTCTCGGCTTTCTCTCCCTCTCTCTCTCTGCGCACATATCTCCCTACCGCTAGTATTACTCGAACAGAGCATGATGTGCGCTCGCCCTGAAGTCGTTGGATTTGGAATGCTCTGCACATGAGCAAAGAGCTAAATACTCCACATCAGGGAGTAGCCTTCGGGAGGCCTTGGGAAAACAACATGTCAGATTGTGAGAAACGATAAGGTCAGATGTACGTATGGGGTATGCCATGGTATGCCATATGATATGTAAAACGATATACTGCGATAAGCTCGTTTGGTGGGCTTGCGCACCTTCTCGCTCTCTCTGTCTCTGTCTCTCTCTCTCTCTCTCTCTCTCTCTCTCTCTCTCTCTTTCTCTCTCCCTGTCTCTCAGTGTCCATGCATCCGGAAGCCGAGGAAGGCTTCAAAGAGTTAACGAGAAAATAGATCAGGAGACATGGCTTGGAACGATATTAAACTTCAAAAAGATATCAGAACGATAACCGAAGTTTCGATAAGAGTGTCATTTCTCAACACTTCCCCATTCGTAATTATCGGAACCCTCTCTACCAGGTCTCTACCAACAATCCTCAGCTGTGTCGTGAAGCTTTGCCTGCATGGCCGAGCAGTCACGTTCTGGCATTCTCTTCCACAGCTTCGGAGAGCTGTCTTCGCGGAAGAGTGCTTGAACAAATTGCTTATGATGCTTGTGCCGCTGATGTCCGTTTGATATGTAAAATAATATAGTCCAACCCCAAAAGCGACTATCAAGACAGCAGAACTTTCGCATGAACGAGTATTGCCCATCGCCCACATGCTTCAAGCCTCGCACAGTTCAAGGTCCCGGCATCTTCCGCATACGCCAAGTCATCACAACCTACCTCCAGGTCGCGGGGCCGGGAAGTTGTTGCATTGTTGCAATCGTAGGAGTACTGGCAAGTTTGAGAACTGCTCCAGGGGCTGATTGATGCCTTTACAAGCCCGGAAGTACGTGATCAATTGGCAAGATCTTTTTGCATGCACACGCACAATCACACGTGCACTCTTTCATTAATTCATTAATTCATTCCATCTTTCTTTCATTCCGCTCATTCAATTCGATTCGTTTCATTAATCCGAGCGTCTGAATAGTAGGCCCCCCCAATTAAAATTGAGGGCATCGCATGAGTAGAAAACCATCTCTCAAGACAACTGCCCCTGTAGATTGGAGATCGGCGAGCAGTTCCAGGTGCAGAAATGACCCAAGAAAATTTCGTCAGATGTGAGCCCGTTTATTATTCAGATGCTCGGATTAGTTCATTCATTCCATCCATCCATCCATCCATCCTTCCATCCATCCATCCATCCATCCATCCATCCATCCATGCATTCCTTCATTCATTCATTCCATCCATCCATCCATGCATGCATTCGTTCATTCATTCATTCATTCATTCATTCATTCATCCTTTCCGTTCCATTCCTTCATTAACTAGTTCATTCATTCCATTTCATTCTTTCATTCATTCTGTCATTCCGTTCATCCCATTCCTTCATTCATTCCTTCATTCATTCATTCATTCATTCATCCATTCATTCATTCCATTCTTTCATTCCATTCATTCCATTCATTCATCCATCCATCCATGCATGCATTCGTTCATTCGTTCATTCATTCATTCATTCATTCATTCATGGACTCACTCATTTATTTTATGCATTCATTCATTGTTTCATTCTTTCATTCACTCAGTTCGTTCATTATTCCATTCCATTCCATTCCATCCTTCCTTCCTTCCATCCATGCATACATTCATTCGTTCATTCATTCACACACATTCACACATACATGCACACACGCGCACACACACACACACTCTCACGGACACGTAGTTGCATTGCTGCGACAGATTGTGTTGTTTGCTACGGGCAGGAACACCACAGCCGATGACTTTAAAGCCATCGAAGACGCCCAGCTCCCCATCAAGTCCAAAGGCGAGCCCAAAAGCCGCAGCTGCGAAGGCCGCACATGATGTCCTTTAGGGTATCACAGGAGGACGGGTGAACCAGCCAGGCGATATCTCGTGAAAAACAGGTGTCACTAGAGCACTTCGTGGACAAGGATTGTGTTTGCCCGTAAAGTCCTTGTTTGGTGATACGTGCTCAGGAAAGTGTTTTTGGAAATGTTTTGTTTAGATCGATGGAACAGGACAAAACCCCTGGCCTAGGAGTCGCATGGAGCTTGTCCTTCCTGAGAGGGGGGTTCCTTGACAAGGGTTTGCTTATCCTGGCTCTTTCTCATTTCCATCGAACTCGTACAGGGTTTGCATGGGTGGGTGACCTGGTCTCCTGCTATACTTGCCGAATCAAGATGCTATTGGCTTAGGTGTTATTATGCCGATCTTCTGCTGGTGGACATCTGCGGATTTTCAGTTGCTCTGGGTGTTGCACTTAGTTTAGCTCATTTTGTTCTGCCCGTTGCGCTTCGTGCGATGTGATGGCTACTCTTGGTTTTCTGGGTCAAGTTGTCAGTCTTTCTTCGGCCTTGCTCCTCCTTTTTTGTTACTGTTTGCTTGTTTGCTTTAAGCAGTTTGAGTACGGTGTCATGTCCACCTCAGAACGAAAGCAACGCGCTTGCATAACATGGTTGTTGTTCGAAGGCTTGTGTCCTCCGGCTTCGGCTTCCTGGTGTGAAGTTAGGTTCAAGCTCAGACGTGTCGTTGATGAGACCTGGTGAGGCCAAGCGAGCCAGGGGAGAAGAAGAGGAGGACAACGAGGAGAATGCCACCTTCCTCCTCCTGTTGGTGGCTTAGCAAAATCTCAGCAGTAGATGGTTCATCTCTGGATCTGTTCATGCTCACCTCGGCCTCACCGACGTGGCAAAGCGCAGAGCTGCACAGTAAAGAATACGACGTTTTTAATGGTAGGAGCGCGGGGTGATGGAGGTAGGCTAAGCATGCAATTTCAAGCATCTTCAAGCACAAGCCGGAGGGACAGAACCGAATGTCAGGATGTGATTCCTGCCTTTGTGATCTTCGTCAGTGCGATTGTCGCTGGCCTCAGCGCGGATATCGAGCCCGACGCAGAGGCGGAGATTCGCCGATTGCCTGCTGCTGTTTTTGCCAGGGTTCCTTGGATGGGCCCGGTGCTAAAGAATACCCCTGCCTCACTGCAGCTCCGTCGAGGTGTGGAGAATATTCGAGATCACCTTCACCATCTTCTTCATAGGCGAGATTCTCGTCAAGGTGCGAGTTTTTGGGGTTCGACAGCAACTCGGAAAAAACAGTCTTGGTCAACCTTGCTCTTTCCTAAGTCCTATGAGTTTCCTGCCCACCAACCGCCGTTGTTCCGAATCTCAGATTTCTTTTCGGTCCCGATTGGTATTGGAGTTGGTTCGACATCGTTTGCATCCTCGTCGCAATATTTGACTTGTCGCTCACGTACATCAGCTTTGCCTTGGGCATCAATCTTGATGCAGGCCCGGTAGTCCAAAGTCTTTGCGACTCGAGGTTATTGGGTAGTCGGTTGTTCTGCCCAAAGATGTGCATGTTCGCATGTTTTCTTCTGACCAGGGCCCGTGAGCTCACTGAAGAGCTTGAAATTGGCCCGGCTTGGTCGGATCATTCGGCTGCTGAAGTTCAAGATTTTTCAGGAGCTGAAGCTCATGATCCAGGGCGTCTTCACCGGCCTCAGGGTCCTATTCTGGGCGGTGGTGCTCCTGTTCCTCTGCATGTATCTCTTGGGCATCGTCACGACCACCTTATTCAAAGAGTTTGCTGAGTTCAGCTCGGTCCCTGCAGCGATGTTCACATGGTTTCGGTGTTTCACGGATGGCTGCGCTGCATACGATGGGACGCCTCTTCAGGAAAAACTGCGGCATGCCTCCTGGCTGGTCCTGGCTAATGCGGCCAATAAGCATGAATGTCGGACATTTTTCTTGCGTTGCCAGGATGTCTATGGATGCATTTCTTGCATCGTCCAAGCACGCGCATGTCGCAGGAGTTTGGCGGGATCTTCATGGTGGTTTACATCCTGCTCTTCCTGTTCGTCACAATCGGAATCTTCAATTTGATTATGGAGCCTTGGCCTCCTTGGCGCACACGTTGCACCACCGACTGCCTGGGCCGGGCCCCAAAGTCAGGCTGTCTTTATCGACAATGTTGCCGACGGCAGCACCAAGAAGCGCCAGCGACAGCTTGGCCAAAACGCCGCAAAGACGGAGATCCTTGCCTTTCACTGGCCAGCTGTCTTTGAGTGTGTGTGTGTGTGCTTCTTGGTGGCGTCACGCCTTGTTGCCTGGACACCTTTGGCTTGCAGGACTTGAGTAGGATCGCACGTCAATTCAAGGGAGCTTCAAACTACCGTCAATAGACACCTGCTTGACTCGCCTTTGTGGTCGCCTGAGGTGGATAATCGCCTCCGTCCTCAGATGCTGGGCCTTCACAGGGTCTCAATTTATACGTTTCTGATCTCTTCCAGGAGGTGCTAAACCCTTAGGAGTGCCTCATCAATCACGTCATTCGATTCCTTCTGGTGTTTCGGATCCTGGTGCCTTCTAGCCTTCTTGTGGGCTTGTCACGCGGAGCCCGGCCCTACTAATAGGGCGTATTTCCGTCTTCAGTTCATGTTTCGAACTCTGACCTACCGAGCACATCACGTTCGAAGGATTCTGGAGGATGCTCGATTCCTGAAGTGGGCCGGGCCAGGAGAGATAGGGGTGCAAGCTCTTTGGTCTGTCAGGCATGAGATGAGACCTCTGCAAGCTCCCTTGGAAAGAGATTGCCACACGATGCGTGATGAGGGAGTTTGGGGATAACGGAGAGCCCCCCACCCCCTGATGCTTGCCACAGCGCAGCTTCCCTTAAAAACACCACGACGTGACCCATTTGGAGGTGCTGTTCGTTTGGACTTGACAGCCGCCCCCTTGTCTTGGTCAGACGTCCTTGCGATGTGGTGCATCTCGACTCAGGACGGATAATCCTGACGAAGATATTGCGTAAGGACTTGGACACTCGGCAGCATGCATGCGGGCAGTGCCAGGGTAGACCACCCCCCGTTGATGTTGATAAGCCTGAAGTCCAGACCTGAGGAAGAGCAGATGGCTGAGGGTCCAGGACACGGGTCGGAGGGCCGTCGGGTATCCAAGTTGCTAGACCAGCAGCTCTTGCAGTTGCAAGAGATGCACCTCGGATGCAGGGTCCAGGGGTTGATGTTCCCAGATTCTCAGTCATGAGGGGATGCTGACCATGGCCCGTGCTATAAAAGGTATGGCTTCAAGCCGCACTCATCGCAAGAGTATGAGCAGCTCACTGCAACCTGGCTGTCCATAGCCCATGGTTTGTGAACCTTGCGGTCCTGTAGTTAGGGAGGGTGGTGTCCTTGTTTTCTATGTTGGGCCTTCGCAACAACAATGCGCTGTTGCACTACACACCAATGCTTCCTCAGGATGAAATTCGCGAGCAGATGGCAGAACGAAACGTGGTGGTGACAAGAGACGAGTTCAACCAGTGGTTATCTACAGACAAAGAGCTTATTGCTCGGCTGGACGAATCTGAAATTGACCTGTCTTGTAAGTCAGACCTTTTCGACGTCTTAGATGCAGATCTGAGCGGGGAGTTGGAGTTCGAGGAGATGGTTGATGGATTGCTTAAGTGCCGTGGGCCGGCATCCAAGACAGACATCATCGCAGTCAGGCTGAAGACAGCATTTCTCGTGCGACTGGTTCTTAAGATTTGTGAAAGGCTTGGGATTGAAGATCCATAAAGCTTGTTACGGAGTTTTGTCTCCCAAGAGGCAGGCCCCTTGCATGCACAACCCGTCTGCAAAGCAGGCCCTCTGAATTCGATCTGTCTTTAGGCTTTAGACTCGGCATGGCATAGTGGCACATCGACGCGCGAGTGGGTAGGCTAGAAATCGGGAGCCGTCACGACGAGTAAACGCCACATGCCTTAACAAGTTTCATCGGATGACCGAACCGAAGGCGAGCCCCCCACCAGGAGATAGATTTGTTAAAGGCCCGGAAATTTGGGTGGCACAGGGTACATGTACGACAGGATTTTACTTCGGGATCGGGTTGGATATGTTGTTCACAACAGGGAACTCCAGAGCTTGATGGCAAGGTGGCCGAGACCCTCCTGAGTCCCAGCTCCCCCTGAACCAGCTTTGCTCTCTGCTGGCCTAAAGGGTGCAACAGTTAAAGGCCAAGGCTCTTTTCGTTGTGCGCGGATGCTCGCCGAGTGAGATGAGCCAAGTGCTGACTTGCATGGCCACCAGACGGAGCCAACAGATCAGCCCATCGTACACACACTTGGAGGAAATACTAAGTCGTGGGCGTCATTAAGCGGCAGAAGTATGTTCCAGCTTTTTCTCTGGAAGCTGTGGCTCCCTCGAGTTTCTGCTAGATGCCTGGATGTAAACCAGCCTCCAAAACGGTGCGGATGCAAAATACAAGTCGGTCTTGTGCACTCATTCATGGTTGTTGCCGACTTGGGGAGTGCCATTTTGGAGGATTGCATGAGCAGCATCAACTTCAGGTCCAGAGGGCCATCCGATGTCATGTTGTATCAAAGCAAACACACGGCATGTGAGCAACTCGTGCGGCACACGCGCGAGTGATCATGTCGAATGGTTGCATATGTGAAGTAGACACAAAGGTTTTGGCCATTGCACGCAAGCGGGCGACCGGCTGTCAACGGTACAACTGCCGTGATGTACAGCGGTTTACGACCTACTTCATGCTGCTGCCCTGCCGAAAACGTGCGACGGTTGAGAGTGGGTCATGTTTCAAGATAGAGAACCCAGCAGAAAGTTGTTGTTAATGCTGCTGCTGAGTGAGATGAGGCCCGAGTTGTAAAATGCCTGCAACAGCTTTGTGCTCCAATTTCAGTGGCGAGAGTTAACAGACTCTGATGGTGTGGTTTGCCTCACAAAAACTTGTTGAAGTTCCTCCACCACTGCTTTGTGGCGTCACGAGCCAAGACTAAGACACCTTCATGAGCTGCTAACTGGGCAACGTCGGCATCCCTGGTACGTTGAAAGTTATAAGTGCCTCTGGAGAGCCTTGACATGTCATCCTCGAGCGCCGTGGCTGCATCAAGCATGCATCGGCACAAGCTGTGAGCTAAGGCATGCACTGGCTTGTTTTGCGGATGCGCTGTCTCGCAAGATGCGCCCTGATGTCATCACAGTCAGTGCTGCGATCAGCGCCTGCGAGAAATCCGCGGAGAGTCTCGGATGCAATTGGATCCAAGATTGGAGAGGAACGGAGCTGCTCGCGTCTGCGCGCGTCTTGCGTCTAGGTGGCAACAGGCGTTCGAGTTGTTCGGCGGTTTGCAGCGGCTGTCGCTTCGGCCAAATGTGGTGGCCGCTGGAGCAGTCATCAGTGCCCTCGAGAAAGGCCGGGAAAGTCTCGTAAATGGCTAAGGGCTATAGTATCGCAAGGGCCGCCGGAGCCAGGGGGCGAGTGGCAGAGAGCTCTACATCTGCTGATGGAAAGCTGGAGCAGCGGGGTGCAGGCCCGGCCATGTTGGGCCGTGCGTCCGCAGTGGCCCAACTCTTGAGAAAGCACGGCTCGAGGTCAACACGGTGGTCGTGAATGCAGCACTCAGTGCATGTGTCACAGCTGCAGGGGATCGTAGCTATCGCGCGGCAAGAATCCGGAAAAGCCAAGGTGAAAAACGTGGGCAGTGGCAGATGGCACTGCAGGTGCGGCTTGGACCGCGGGAGGATGAACATCTCCGTAAGGCATTTCTGATTGTGCTGCGTTATCTGCGTTTCCATTGAAGTGGCTGAGGCTGTGCTATTCCCTTGGCAACGGGATCGAAGCGGATGTTATCTCTTACAGTGCGGCCATCAGCGCCTGTGAAGACCCGTCGTCGATAATGATGTTCTGCTGCTGGTTCTAACAGTGCCGAGTGCAACGAGCTAGGCATACAACTGCTGACTGGTTGGTTCAAGCACCTTCTCGTGTAAGTAGTTGGCCTATTTCAACCGCATATCTTGTAGTTCGTGCTGTGGAGATGGAGCCACTGGCAGTGTCTTCTAGGCTTTTTAAAGGCAAATGTGCAGATTTTCGGGTTCATGCGCAGGAAGAAGCTCAGTGGCAAGCTGCACTACAGCTGCTGCAAGACTTGAGAAGCAGCCGCTCACCTGCAAAGAAAGGTTAACCGGGGCCATGCAAGCTTCGTGTCTTAGCATCGCTGGAAATTAAGCGAGAATATTCGAGATGTGCTTGAGGATGCACTTGTTGCTGTTGATGGAAGATTTCCTGAGAACCATCCACAGAACAGGAGTCAGGGCCACCACACTGCACCGATCTGCCAACTCAAGTACTTTGCCGAACTGCATGGAGATCAGTGGAGCGAAATGCCACGCACGGGACAGTCATGCGAAGATGTGCGGCTGATGAGCTCAGCAGATGAGTGCTCCCTCTAGGACCCTGCTCTTCGAGCCAATTGCTAAGCGCTCGGCCTATACCGAGATTCAAGACACTGAAGTCCCTCCCAGGGTCGAGGAAGCGCCGTTCTGTTGCTGAGAGGGTGTTCTCGTATCCAATTCCAGATCAGTCACCTTGGTTGTACTTAAAACTGGGTGTCGAACTGGCGGGGCGGCTCTTTCACAACTGACATTATCAGCCTGACGTTGCAAGCAATCTGTGGTATGCCGGCGGGCACAGCATGACTGTTACTGGTACGTACTGGTAGCATAATAAAGTCGGCTTATGGTCCTAGATTCGATTCACTAGATCCTCCGCTCCGGATGGAATCTGCTAGTCTGGGGCATGCATGCTGCACAGTGATCAGGCCGAATCAGACCAAGTAAGCAAGTTTGTGTGCAGAGTCGTTTCAGGCTATCTGGTGGCGAACGTGGTGGCACTGACTGCAGCGATTAGCGCTTGTACTAAAGGCAGGAACTGGCAAAGTGCCATTGCTTTGCTACTCGTCCAAGGAATGTGTTACATCAGAGCGGAAGCAGAATAGCGATGTTGAGTGATCCTTACATTTGCATGCATCTGTTTCTGCGCGCCTGCATGCGCGAGAAGAATCCGGTCGTCGAGTTGTCGAAAACGGCTGAGCCATGAGGTTTGCGGAACTCCGTGCAGCAGCACTGCAGCCTAACATCGCCAGCTATGATGCCGTTCTGCTAGCATTGGACGAGTCTGCGCGCTTCGAGGAGGTGCAGCTGCTTGCTGCCCAGTCGTCAAACTGATTCTGCAAGCCACGAAGACTGGAGATGTCACTTACGCAGTAACTGCTCAAGTCGTTGCCGTCTGCACACACGTGGCAGCAAATAAATTTGCTCTGGAGATGCGTCAGAGACTTGCGTGAGGCGCTCTCGCTTTTTGAAGAGTTGAAGACGGTCTCCATCGAGCCACGGCAAGAAAGAGTCAGAGACGTTTGCTCAGATTCGGCAAGTTGTGCGAATGTCAACTTGCCCCACGGTGCAGTCGCTGTAGGCCTTGTAGGCTGAGACGCTCTTCTAAAGCAGTTCGTGTGTCGTGAAGTTTCCAGGAGGCCGATTCGTTCCTGTACCGCTGCATGCTCAACCTGTCCGAGAGAGCCGGTTACTCCCGATATTCAGCACTGCTTTTTTCTGGACACAGCAGACTCTTGAATGCCGCATGACGAAGTTGCTACACCGTCACGTCCAGGTGATGGCGTCTTTGCACGAAGCTGCCTTCGCGACCTCGAGAACATGGCTTGGCATGCGGCGGCAAAACAAGAAAGCTCTTGTTCATCGTTTTTTCAGGCCCAAAGGCACTCTGTGCTTGGGGCAGCAGCTTTTTCTCAGCCTTCCAATTTCCACGTTCGAGGAGTGGCATGGCTGTTGGCACTGCAGCAGTCCTCGCAGCACGACATCAGATGTATGAAATTCTTCTGCTCGAGAGCTGGGCTCACTTCCAAAATTGCTGCAGCAAGATATAGCCGAATGTGGCCTGCCACGCGGCTCAGAAGAGTCTTGTAGTAGCTCGTGCATGACCGTGTGACATCGGATGGCCACTGTCCGCTGGGTCAGACATCCTGCCTGTTCACCCGGCTTGGAAGGCAGGCATCTTCGTTGTCATTCAGGGAGCGCAGTTGGTGTTGCATACGTGACCTGTGTTCAGGACCTGCGCTACTTGCGAATGCAGCGCTGACGTCCACCCGGGTCAGCGACCGCGTGCCTTTCATGACATGCTTCATTCCCGAAAGGCTTTTGGAGAGTCCCTTGCTGTGTTGGTAGGTACAAAAACAGCATGTTGCCGTAGGCTCACGCATGGCTGTATTCCGAAAGGTATCTATGTTGAGCTCCTGTCTCCTGTCCAGTGCTGCTCGTGCGGCATACTCAGACTCTGATTCATGGCTCCAGGGTCCCAGTCTGGCCTTCTTCAAGTGGACATTTCTGTGGAGCATGTAGCAAGGACAGGAGTTGGAGAAGGCATCTGAATTCCAAAAACCTGAAACAAATCATGCACATAGCCACATAGCGAACTCGCATGGCTGCTGTATGTGTATATAATCGTCTCTGAGCCACTAAGCTTGGGTGCATCACGTCCTTCCAGCAACCGCTCGTGTCTGCTTGGCCATGGCGCTGAACGATTCGCCGTTCCAGCGATACCTTGCAGCGTTACATTCAGAGTACGACCGTGTGGTCACTGAAAATGTCGAGCTGCGCAAAGAGTTGCAGAAGGAGAGCTGCAAGCAAAAAGATCCCGCCCTGTAGAATCGATGTCTATCCGAGCTTGGGCCGGGCAAAAGATGGTATGGCAGCGCATGGGGCCCGCTTTAGCCTGTCTTTCACATCGGATGGCATGTGCAAGCCAGGCATGTAATAAGTTCCGCATCGGCTTGCGTTTGCCCGCCATGATCTAGCAAAGGCTTCGTAAGCTGGTGATCCTCGTTATGCTTTCTTTTAGTAATTTTAGTAGTAGAGATCGAGTATAGAGAGGCAATAACTAAAAGCAAGCTCGTGACAGGAATGAAAAAAATGGACCTCTCTTCCATCGCAGTTTTCTTGTCGGATTCTGATCCAACCCCCATCACGCAGGATCCTCTGTGGAGCTTTCGCCGCGTGAGCGCCGACTCAAGCCCTCCTGCACAACCGGTTGTGGCCTACGCTGCAACACCCTCCACCTCGGTGCCTTCGGATATCAGACAGGGTTTCTTCCGTTTCGTGAGAGGGTAGCATGAATCTGGGTAGTTCTCCAAACTAGCCCCTTTTTTGGTCCCCCGAATCGTACATAACCCGTAGAAAACTGATGAACAAGTGACTCTAATTTAGAGAACTACCCATGTGAACACAAGATGCCAGTAACGTCTGTGACAGCATTCTATGTTCGTGTTCTGTCGCGGTTTTGCGAGAGGGTAGCAGCATTTGTGTGAACTCCAACTACCCTTAGCATCGATGACAGGATTCTGTGTCCGTGTTCTGTTGCGGGTTTTCGAGAGGGTAGCATGAGTGTGAACACCCAGTAGCACCTAGGAAAGCAGTCGATGTCGTTGTTCTTTTGGGGCTCACATGTGGAAAAGTGAGACATGCATGCAGAAAGCGAGCAGCCACTCGGTGTCACGAAGTCAACCTACTGTACCACTGCAGAGCTGTAACCTGAAATCCGGTGGCTCCTTCGAACTGGTCCTGGAAGCAGTGTGCCAGTCACCCTGAGCAGGTGCCTGGCGAGTTGCCCGGGGACCCGTTGTGGCACATACGAGCAGACGATTGCGAGATCATCGAGCCAGTGCGGATTGGCTATGTTAGCACGTTTTTTGGTTGGCGCCGGGTTGCCATTGAGAACTGGCTGAGTTGACGGCGTTGCATTTCGCTATTTTCGATATGAACTAGGGGTTACGAGCAAGGCATGACGCCGCCCATCACCCACAATCGAGTGTTGCGAGCTTCCGTTTACTCCAGCAGACTCTAACTTTGCCTGTGTAGATTGCACGCAGGGGCTGTAATTCAACAGGTGTCTTCGCACACGAACTGTGAGCTGTTCAAGAATCGGCCAAAGCATCCGCGCGAAGGCAAGCCATAAATGCGTGTGCCGATGAGCTTGGCGCGAAGAACGACAAGAGCCCGGGTGGCAAGAGCCCTCCACCTGGAAGCCCAAAGAAGATATCCGTCAGAAGCCGAGTTCCAGTCGCAGATGTTGCGAGCCACCCTCGGCAGATAATGACATTACACGCTAGCTGTTAAGCTCCGATCGGTGTGCATGACTGCGCATTTCACGCCCACAAGTGAAGAAGTGTGAATTGACCTGTCGTTGCATTGATGCTGCTCCCTGTGCATCCGCAAAAGGGAGGGCGGGAATGGAAGGGCGGGAGTGAGGGAAGGAAGGGCAGGCTCGGGTGTCGATCATCGCCCACCTTGGGAGAAGTCGACGGCAACAGAACCAGTGTGACTGGCACAGGCATGGTGTAGCTAGGAAGATCCACGAGCATAGGCAGGGAATCTCTCACCTCAATATCAAGATCAGTAGCATCAAGATCCTCTGCATGGGGCGTCTCTGCGGCCCCACCGACCGAAACGGAGCGACATGTGAGGTAGCTCGCAATCCTTGCTGCGCTAGTGGTGCGCATGTCAAAGAAGCAGCGGAATAGCTGCTTCACGGAGCCCGACAGAGAGAGAGAGAGAGGCTGTGTAGAAGAAGAAGAGAGAGAGAGAGAGAGAGAGAGAGCTAGGCCGACAGCCCCAAAGCCGTGCGTGCTAGAGAGAGTGCGAGTCAAAGCCGGAGGCGTCTTCTTTTTTATGCTGGCTCAGCCATACAATGGGGTGCAGACCGGACAGCTTTTAAGCCGAGGGGGTAGGCAGGGGCCCCCTCCGAGTCATGTCTGTAGCAAGCAGGCAAGCTGGCGAGCGGTGGAGACACACACATATGTATATATACATACATACATAAACATACACACACGCACACACACACACCCACCCACCCACGCACGCCCACGCCCACGCCCACGCCCA